GAGAGTACAGAGAAGATTCAAAGACTTTATTTTATTTCCTGGAATCATTTTTCTTCTGATACATATTTTTTATATGCATTTTCTTATTAACATTTTTTGGGAGAGGACAGCAGTATCTTACTTAGAGCCCATGGTAGCTCCACACTAAGAGAAAGTGACTATCTTAATTTTAAAAAATGCTTACCTGGATCCAACAGCCCTTTAGATGTGACTTCTATTTCACAGGAAATATAGTTACTAGAGAAGCAAGCTAAATACCACAAGGAAATAACCAGACAAATCCAGACTGTGGGGCATTCTGTAGGACAACTACTTAATTGTTTCCACTAGTAAGTGTCCTAAAAAAGGGACTGTACTAGGTTAAAATTAATATAAATGAATGTGTGGTCTTGGGTTGGATACTGATTTGGATAAACTAGCATAAAAATAATTGGAGAAATTTTGATATGGCCTGGAAATGAAATGAGATAAGATGAGATGAAAGTATACCAAAACACAAAGGTAGAGAGTGTTGACCAAATAAAATAGATTATTAAAAGTTTATAAAATAATTAGAAGAGTGTGCATTCATTTTGGTACACATACACAGGTTGTTGCAGTGATGTTTTCTGGGATGTAGGAATATGCTGTTTGTTTTTTTAACTTGTCTGTGTTTTCTTTTTTTTTAAAGATTTTTTATTGGGGAATTGGGGGATGGGAACAGCACTGGGGAATTGGGGGAAGGGGATCCGACAAGCCGCCTTCCATTTTGTTCTTCAGTCTAGCCGTGGAGAACGACGCCCCACTGGCCCAAGTTGGCACCATCACTGCGCTCCTCCCGGCGAGGCCGATCAGTCACCGGCCTCTGGATGGCCGCTCACGGTGGCTGCTGGCCGCTCATGCTGGCTGCTCGCTACACACGGTAGCCCATGGCAACCCACTGCAGCAGGGACTGCCACTTATGCCGTTGCCGGCGACTCACGGCAGCCCAGCTCCAGGTTGAGCTGTTGTTCAGCATCTTAGCTGTGGAGGGCAGTGTCACTGGCCCCCACATGTGGGATCCGAACCGGGGCCCTCTGGCGTCCCAAGCCAGCTCCCAACCAATGCGCCACTCTGCCGGCCCTTGTCTGTATTTTCTAATGTTCTACAAAGCTTGTACTTTGTACTTTGTAGTACTACATGTACTGCTTATGTAAAAAGCTTTTTTGTTTTGTTTTGTTTTTTTAATTTTAACTTTTATTGGGGAACAGTGTGTTTTCTCAGGACCCATCAGCTCCAAGTCAAGCAGTTGTTTCAATCTACTTGTGGTGGGCGCATCTCAGTGGCCCATGTGGGGATCGAACCAGCAACCTTAGTGTTATGAGCCTGCGCTCTAACCAACTGAGCTAACTGGCTGCCCCTGAAATTTTTTTAAAAAATAGTGACATAGATGTAAATGGGACAAATTTTACGATGAAGGTAATAAAGCTTACGTTTCAGGGTCCCTTGTTTACATGGACCCTTTCAAGGCCCTAGGAGGACAGCTAGCAATTTTGTTTCATACTTTTGTGGTATTTTTAAATTTTATTTTTTATGTCCTAGCATTTTTTATTGTGGTAAAATAAGCATAATGTAAAATGTACTATTTTAACCATTTTTAGGTTTACATTTCAGTGGCATTACGTTCATTCACATTGTTGTGCAACAATCACCACCACCCATCTCCAGGACTTTGTCATCTTTCCAAAATGAAAGTCTGTCCCCATTAAACAATGACTCCTGACTCTCCTCTCCCTCCAGTCTTTTTATTTTTAAGAGTCTCCAAAACTGTATAAGCTTTAAACACAAAACCTGGGTCCTGTTCCAACTGACAACCAGATACCCTGGTCATTCCTGAACAAGCTTTGAAATGATACCTGACACTGCCAAAGTGACTTTAGCCTCAAGCCAAAGGGCAGTCAACATAGTTGAGGAGACTGTCACCAAAGTGCTCATCACCAGACGTGCAAAAGGCAACAACTGTTGCAGCATTAACATCACTGAATTCACAGGAAGACAAAAGCAATGAGTTTCTGATATTATTAGAATATGTAGTTATACAACTTTCCAGAAGTTGTAAGTTTGTCAATCTTAAGGTCCTAATGTCTCATAAATTAGCCCTAATTTCTTCACTGCTTATACTTATTAAATAAGTAGTACCACCATTTCCTGTAAAATTAGTCCAGAAGAGTAGTTAGGAGTTTTATGTAGTTGTACCAGCTAGTTTTAAGTCTGGCTCAACATAACAGAAAATCCTAATTTATTTCTCTCCTACTTAAAAGCGGTCCGGAGGTACACAGTCCAGGACCAGTATGATAGTTTTATGATCATTAAAGAATGGGAGCCCTTTTATCTGGCTATGCTACAATCCTTAGCATGCTATTTCATGATCCAATAGGGCTGTTCAAGCTCCAGGATCAAGCCTGTATTCTAGCCAAAAGAAAAAATAAGGAGTGAAAAAGAGCAAACCCCCTTCCTACAATGACTCTTCACAGAAATTACACCTAACACTTGAGCTTATATCTCTTTTATCAGAACATAGTCATGCACATTTACTTAGCTGTAAGACCAGTCAGGAAATGTAACCTCTATTCTAGAAACTTGTGCTCAATGAGAAATTCTATTACAAAAGAAATGGAGAGACTGGATATTGGGATAAACAACTAAGGATCTGTCAAATGGTGTTTAAAAAGATTCAGTGTGCTGGTTTTTGAGGTTTGGTGCGGGCAGAAAGCACTTACATATTGGAATATATTTTTTCATTATAGTTTTTCCCCTTTATAATTCAGTTGGAGCAGCATACCGATTTTAAATATATATTTAGGTGAATTATAGTCACTGAATTTTATTTCAGAATGGTAAAAGGGGTATTACAAAATATTCGTCATGAAAAAGGGACTTGGGTCTGACAGGGTAGAGAACCACTGTATTGGGGTGTTGACCTTCTCCTGGATACTGCCCTATGGACTTGGACGATACTGTTTAGCCTCCTAAAGGAGTAGAGGTAGACATCTTAAAGTACCATTTATATCACTGCTTAGCATTTTGTTTAGTGCTAAAAGCTTGCTTCCTCACAATTAGCTTTCTAGGCTGGGTGCTAAAGCCTTCCTCCACATACCACAGAAGTGGGCTCAGCAGGCTTATATGGAAAAGAGAACAAGTCATTTTCCCAGTTGAAGGGGACTTTTGAATGTCTCAATGGCCAAATATATCTAAACCATACATCAAAGTCAATAAGGTTTACTGTTGCGGGTAAGCTTTAACTGGGAAAAGCATCATATTAGTGTATTACTTGCCATCACTTTTGTACTGTTCTGTCATTTCCAGGGAAAATGTAAACTATAGGTGGTGGCCTCTGACCCCATCCCTAGAGAATGTTACCATAGAGGGTATTTTCTCCACATGGTTAAAAAAAAATACGAGGAACATGAGTGCAGAAGTTCTTTACCAACCAGAGAGCTCTTACAGGGGCTGGAGCAAAAGCACAATGGAGGGCTGGCCGAGTAGCTCAGTTGGTTAAGAGTTAGCTTAAGAGCGCGAGCTCTGAGCAACAGGGCTGCCGGTTCGATTCCCACATGGGCCAGTGACGCTGCACCCGAGCTGAGCTGCCACTGTGCTGCCAACAGGTGGCAGGATGGCTCAGATGGTGAGAGCACGTGCTCCTAACAACAAGACTGCCTGTTCGATGGTGGGCTATGCCCACCCGCAACTAAGACTGAACTTGGCACCTTGAGCTGAGCTGCCACCTGGATGGCTCAGTGGATAGGGCATGCACTCTTAACAAGACTGCCAGTTTGACCCCTGCATGGAATGGTGGCTACGCCCACCTGCAACTAAAATTGAACACAGCACCTTGAGCTTAGAGACCACAAGCTGCCGATGGGCAGCCAGATGGCGACTAGCGCCCTCCACAACTAAGACTGAAGAACAACTTGGCTGGTTCCCCTTCCCCAATTCCCCAACACTGTTCCCCTCCCCCAACTCCCCAATTAAAAGGAAAAAAAATTAACATTAAAAAAAGCACAATAGAAAGAACTAGGTGAGGGGCTGATGGAATCAGATGACCTCGTGACCTTTCATCCTTCTCTATGACTTGATAATAAATCGAAATAAATCTCCAAGCTTCTACATTGCATATATTGGTTGTCAAATTGCTTTTCTAAATTGATCACATTTGACCTTGATAGTTAATACGTTATTTAATAAATTTGGGAATTTTGTCCAAATTGGAATACAATTTCTCCCTGAAATGGACTTCAATAGTGGTCAGACTGCTTGGTTCTTTGCCCCTGATCCAGTCACCACAGGACCTGGGCTCTCTCTTCTTCTCGCTCAGGAATGAGGGGCACTGTCACCCTCTGAGATGGTTAATGGCTTCTTGCTCATCAGGGCTCTGTTCCTCCCAGCTGGCACCCTCACAAAGCCAGCCTCTGGGTCAGAAAATAATTACTTCTGCTCCTACAGTTTGACTTCCTAAGGGACATAAGCCTGCAGAAATAACCAGCCAGCTGCAGCAGAGCACGGAGAAGTCCTGCAACTCCTTCCATAACCACATAACCAGAAAAGGCTACTGTAGCTACACCAGGGTGTGTGTGTGTGTGTGTGTGTGTGTGTGTGTAGGGTCGGGGGGAGGGGCCGGCAGGGAGGGGAGGGGGAATGTGCAAAATGAGGGAAGGCTGGGTTTTAAATAAACAGTCTTTAAAACACTTTTGGGGGAGGGGATTGCATTAAGAGTAAGGGACAGTTGAAAGGCAGGGAGGGTATTTTTCTCTTAGCAGTCGAAGGAGTTTCCCAACCACCTTCTTTCCTCACTTCCTATCTGGCTCACTGTCTTACCAGCAAGTTCTAGGGGAGCCCTGTCCATGGCTCCCAAGAAGGGCTGGAGACTATCAGGGCACAAAGGAGCCAGCAAAGCACTCTGGAGGAAAAGGGAGGCTCCTCTGCATTTCCCTTTCCTGTAGGCTGTCCTGGGTTCTCATGATGTCATCCATTCATCATTGTGAGCTGATTGGTGGTCCCAGGCCTTGGCCAGCTGCCCAAGGCCAGGAGGGCAGAGAGAGATCCCAGGACAAATGTGCAGCAGGCCCGTGAGCATGTGCGGAAATGTCATCAGTTCCACATGGAAAGACTTGTTGGAAATCAAAGAAGACAGTAAAAGTCACAAGATCCTATTCAACCTTCCCTGCCCTGAATGCCTGGAAAGAATTCAGGGACCTCTTGCCTGTGGATGGGGAACCAAACCCTGGAGTGGACCTGGGCGTGGAGGAGGGACTGCTCTGCCAGATGGTTCACTCCCCAGAATTCAACCTGTTTCCTGACTCAGCGGTGTTTGAAAGCAACTTTGTCCAGGTACTCTGGGGTCGCTCAGAATGGCACTCCTTGATTCTTCTACACCTGTTTCCAACGTGTGACCGGGAGAGTCCGTCCCTGATTGAATTCTCCTGAGCAAGGAGAAGTCAGTGGGCCTGGAATGCAAAGCCACCCCCATTTGACCCTGACTTTGCAGAGCCCCAGACAGGGCTTCTCTTGTACACAGCTGCCACTCTGGGGAGAGAGCTCAGGTGTTCTCGGCTCTGAGTGGAGGATTTGGTACCCAAATCCCTCAGTTTACTTCCTTCTCCAGTCTGTCACCCAAAGAGGCAATGAAACAAGACGCCCTCTGAGGGATCGGAATAGGAACGCTGATTGGTCAGAGAACAGGAGCTGGACACCCAGAAAGATCTGGGCTCAGAGTCCAGTCCAGTGCTTTCTCATCAGGAGGCATCACTGTGCAAGTGACCTGGTACTCTGAATCCAAGCTGTCTCTATTGTAAAAAGGGTCAGACTGACCTGAGGGTTACTTGTAAACACAGGAGGCAAAGGCCTTAGTACAACAGGCACTTGGTATATTTTTGTTTCCCCGCCTGGGCTGTCCTCAGGCCAGATGGAGGCCAGAATAAACAAAACTTGGGAGTTACAAGGGGGCTTACAGTTCAGGGAAGGTGCAGGAGATGATAGGGCCTTTTGAAGAAGGGCCAAAGAACAAGTGTTTCAAAGAAAAGCCAGGAAACAGTCTGGGGAAGATTCACAGATACGTGGAACATGTCAGGGAGCTCCTGGGTTATATACTTCTTGTGGGCAATTGCTAATAGTAGATAGCATAAATACTATTACAGTTATTTAACCAATACAGGTTAAAACAGTGGTTCTCAAAAACCATGATTTTGCCCTCCAAAACCAGGGGATATCTGGCAGTGTCTAGAGACATTTTGCGTTGTCACAACTTGGTGGGGTTGCGGGTGGAATTGCTAATGGCATCCAGTGGGTGGAGGCGAAAGGTTCTGCTAAACATCCTACAGTGCCTGGGACAGCCTCCTCCCCAAACAAAGAATTATGCTGCCCACAATGTGAATATTGCCGAGGTTGAGAAACTCTTGGCTGAAACATCCTACTGCTTCTGCCAAACGCTCAGGCTGTGCCCGTGGGGCTGCTTTGCAGGTCAAAAAGGGCAGGAACTGGGTCAACATGTACAAAGCCTCCAACACCATGGCCCTTGGGGTAACCTCCTCCGTGCCCTGCCTGCCCCTTCCCAACATCCTCCTCGTGGCCCGTGTCAAATGGCACCAGGGGCAGAGCCAGACATGGAACAGACCATCTGAAGCCCCAGACATCATCCTGAAGAAGTAAGCAACACCGATGGGAAGGACAAGCTCGGGGGAGGGATGGACCCAAAGCGAAGGCTGTATTGTGACTAAACTCAAGGTGGGAGAAAACAGAGACGTCATTGGCAGTGACATTAATTTTCTTAGATAACAGCAACGTAAGACAGCGGGCACACTGGAAGCATTCTAGGTTAAGTGGGGTGAAGGGAGGCATCGTCTGCATGTTCGCTTTCCTTCTCGCTGCACTCACTCCGCTGAATTCCTAGGCAATCTCTCTGCTTTTGGCCGAGGGGCAAGGAAGCAGTGAGATCTAACAGAGGGAGCCCTGGTTGGGAGTTGCAGGTGCTAGTCTTGGTGTGCAACTAACTAGACTCAAATAGTGTTTGAGTCATAAGTAACTTGTTTCATCTCAGTTTTCCTACCAGTAAAATGAATGGAACTAAGTGTCACTTAGAACTGTAACATATAGTGACATCATACTTATCTGGGATGAAACTGCCCCTTTTGATGTGTGAGCCTCTTAAAGTAATCTGTAGGATATTCAAAAATCTCTAGATATTCCCAGAAGTCCAGGGAAACATTTCTCCAGTTGCCTCAGTGAGAAGCCAGCTCCCTGAACTTTAGCTCCTTTGAGAAGAGTAATTTAGTCAATAGGGTCAATGAATGGACAGTGGGGCCAACTCTGTGGCAGAGGAGGACAGCTTTCTGTGTGCTCTCAAGAAGAAAACTGAAAAACCCTGTGACCTCAGCTACCTTACTCCTAGGCTGCCTCTCTCCCACGGGATCCTGGGACACCAGCATGAAAATCATGACAAGATGGGTGGAGGTTGAAATGCAGATTCCAGGGGCACATCCCAGAATCACTGAATCTGAGCTTTGGGGGTATCTTCAGGTGTCTGCATTTTAAACAAGCTCTCCAAGTGATTCTGATCTCCTTAAAGTGTGAGAAGCACTCTGCTAAGCACTCTCTTTCCTACCCCCAAAAGCCTCAGTCCTGAAGGAGACACTCCTCGTTTTAATGAAGATAGGGTGTCGGATCAGAATCAATGGGGTCGTCAGTGTTTGTCTTCCCTTGTGGCTTCAGGATTCTCCCACTGAAGTTCGTGGAGCTCCAGGTCTGTGACTGCCTTCAACGCGTCCTGCGGTTGAGGACAGTCACTGAGAAGATCTATTACCTAAGGCTCCACCCTGACCATCCTGAGACTGTCTTCCACTTCTGGATTCGACTGGTTCAAATTCTGCAGACGGGCCTGTCCATCACCACCAAAGACCCTCAGATTCTTGTCACTCACTGTCTGGTACCCAAGAACACCTGCAGTCCCTCCGGAGACGCTAATGTAAGTTTTCACCATTGCTGCCTCCAGCCAAGGTCAGAGCTAAGCTGTAGGGCTTAGGTGAGCTGGTATGTGCGCACCCTGTGAAGGTAATCCCTGCCTTAGGCCTTTTCTACTCAGCTTTATTGAGGTACAATTTACAACCATAAAATTCACCCACTATGCACAGTTCAACACTTTCAGTAAATGCATGGAGTTGGTCAGCCATCACCACTATCCAGTTTTGGAACATTTCCATCAGCCTAAAAAATTCCCTTGTGCCCATTTACGGTCATTCCCTCTTCCTATTTCCTGCCCTACACAGCCTTTGATCTGTTTTCAGTTTCAATAAATTCATATTTCTTACACATTTCACATAAATGGAATCCTACACTATATATAGTCTTTTGTTTCTGGCTTTTTTCATTCAGCATAATGTTTTCCAGGTTCACCCAACTTGTAGCATGGGACCGACTCTGTGGCAGAGTCACAGACTATCAATAATTCATTCCTTTTAATTGTTGAATAGTAGTCCATTGTATAAATATGCCACATTTTGTTTATCCATTCAGCAGTTGATGGACATTTGGACTGTTTCCAGTTTTTTTGGCTTTTATGAATAATGCTGCCATGAATATTTGTGTAGATGTTTGTTTTCATTTGTTTTGGGTAGATTCCAAGAAATGGAACTGCTAGGTCATGTACATTTATGTTGAACTTTTAAAGTTTTTGTTTCCCAAAGCGGCTGCACCATTTTATAGTCCCACCAGCAATGCATGAATGCTTCTTTTCTCCACGTCCTCACCAACACTGGTATTGTCTTATGTTTTTGATTAAAGACATTCTGGTGGTTGTGTAGTGGTTTTAATTTGGATTTCCTGAATGGCCAATGATGTTGAGCAACTTTTTATGGGCTTATTAGTCATTTATATATCTTCTTTAGTTAAATGTCTATTCAAATCTTTTTCCTGTTTTTAAGCTGGGTTTTGTCTTTTTATTGAGTTTTAAGAGTTCTTTATATATTCTGGATACAAGTCCTGTATCAGATATATGATTTGCAAATATTTTCTCCAAGTCTGTGAATTATCTTTTCATTTTCTTAATGATGTCTTTTGAGAATCAAAAGATTTTAAATTTTGATGAAGTGCAACTTATTAATTTTTTCTTTTATGGATCAGTCTTTTGGAATTATATCTAAGAACTCTTTTCAACCCACAGTCACAAAGATTTTATTCTCTGTTTTCTCCTAGAAGTTTTATAGATTTATCTCTTCCATTTAGGTCTGTAATACATTTTGAGTTAATATTTGTGTATGGTGTGAGGTAAGGGCCTACATTTTCTTTTCTTTCTTTTTTTTTTTTCTAGTGGATATACAATTGTCCCAGCACCATTTGTTGAAAAAACTATCCTTTCCTCATTGAATTGTCTTGAACACCTTTGTCAAAATCAATTGACCATAGATATAAGGATTTATTTCTGGATTCTCAATTCGGTTCTGTTGATCTGTTTGCCAATTCTTTGCCAATACCACATGGTCTTGATTAATGTAGCTTTGTAGTAAGTTTTGAAATTGGGTGATGTACGTCTTCCAATTTTGTCCTTTTAAAAACTGTCTTGGCTATTCTAGATCCTTTGAATTTCCATATAAATTTTAGGATCAGCTTGTCAATTTCTATAAAATAGCCTGCTGGGATTTTGATAAGGACATGTTGAGTTTATACATCAATTTAGGGAGAATTGCCATCTTGATAATATTGAGTCTTGCAATACATGGATATAGAATGTCTTTCCATTCATTTTGATCGTCTTTAATTTCTGTTAGCAACGTTTTTGTACAAGTTCTTTACTTCTTTTGTTAAATTTATTCCAAGTATTTTATTGTTGTTGATATTAGTGCGAATAAAATTATGTTTTCTTAATTTTATGTTTGCATCATTCATTGATAGTATATAGAAACACAACTGTTTTTGTATATTAATCTTGTTCATTAGATATAGTAGTTTTTGTGGATTCCTCGGAATTACATACATACATACATACATACATACATACATAGTCACCTGAAAATAAAGACAGTTTTACTTTATTTCTAGTCTGTATCATTTTGTTTGTTTATTGCTTATTTTCTTAGCTAGAACCTTTAGTACATGTTTAAGAGAAGTTACAAAAGCAGACATCCTTGCCATGTTCCCAATCTTGGGGGAAAAGCATTGTCTTTCATTAAATATGATGCTAACTGTGGAATTTTGTCAGGTTGAGGAAGTGCCCTTTTATTCTTTGTTTGAGAGATTTTATCATGAATGGGTATTGAATTTTGCCAAAATTTTTTCTGAATTTATTGAGATGATCATGTGGTTTGCCCTTTATTCCATTGATATAGTATATTACATTAATTGATTTTTAGATATTAAACCAGCCTTGTGTTCTTGCAACAAATTCTACTTGATTATGATGTGTATGTGTATTATCCCTTTTAAATATTACAGGATTTGGGTTTCCAGCATTTTATTAAGGATTTCGTATCTGTTTCATTAGAAATATTGATGTAGTTTTCTTGTGATATCCTAGCTTTGGGATTGGGGTAATCCTGGCCTCATTGAGTGATTGGGGAAGTGTTCCCTCCTCCTCTATTTTCTGAGTTTGTGAAGAATGGATATTGCTACTTCTTTAACTATTTAATAGAATTCACCAGTGAAGCTACCTGGGCCATTTTGCTCTAGGCCTTAGAGTATGACATAAGACTGACTTAAGCTACAAGGTAAACTCCATGAAGGCAGGGATTTTCTTCGCTGCCAAATTCCCAGTACCTGGCACATAGTTGACAATCAATAAATATTGAATAAATGATTGAATAAATGAATGAATATGAGCAGCTTGCACAGCTAGAATACCTTTTGGCAACAGGAAAGAAAGCAATTTACCCAGGTGTAAAAAGCTGCTCAATATAAGATTTTTCTTAAATTAATTTTTTAAGCATTTATTAAATTCCTATAATAAATATTTGATGCCCTTACATTTAAATATAAAACCAAGTAGCATACACTTTATTAAAGTTTATATGAATAGGCTATTCAATAACATATTAAGATATGTTAATAAAAATAGGTTATCTACTAAATTATGGCTAAAGTATTCAATGATAATATTATCCTTCGGGCGCCAAAGGATATTTATCATACTACAGGGGGTATAAACAAACAGATATGACCTCAGAATTGCCTCTCTGAGCAGATGACATGGCGGCCCAATGGAATAGTTCGAGTGTCTGGACCATGATATTAGGAAAATGCAGATGTCCTAAGGCCTTAACCACCTGGCTTTGCTGTTTTTCTTCATCTAGTCAGTAGAGACGAAACCCCAAGCCTCCCAGCCCAGCGAGAGCCTCATGAAGCTGATGGCCGTGGGGGAGAGTGAGGCCCTGTCTCAGATTTTTGCCGACTTGCACCAGCACAAGCACTTCAGGTACACGACTTAAATCAGGCCAGCCTGACATCCCGTCCTGCTCTGCAGATAGCCTGGGCTGGGAGATCCCCAAAACAGGTTAATGAGCACAAGGAAGGGAGGAGCATGGAATCCTGGTACAAGTCTTCAGTCTTTCCCCTGGACTCAGGGCAACCTTTTCCCGATTCTCTTCCCCTTAGTCTCCTCTGCATAGCAAGCAGAGTGGGCTTGACTCCACAGGGGGAATGTTATAAAAAATGAAAAGTAACCCTCCAATGATAAGAATACGTTAGTCCCACTGGTGGGGAAGTAAAACCTAATTTCTAATCCAGTTCCTAGTCCTACAGAGAAATAACCAAAACATTACTTAAAACATTGTGTACTTCTTGGGTTTCTTTAGCTACTCACCTGGTTTCTGCTTGGACTTTAGGGAGCTTCTGTGGTCATTTTCTTGGTGTGTACTTTGTAAGCTCCATCATACAGGACTCTCTTTGTGCCTGAGGAAATGTCCCTGAACATATAGATGACTCAGGGTTTGAATCTTAAAACTGGTTGGTATGAGAGAGATAGGAGTTGAGAGTTACTTAGACCACTGGGCACCACAGCCAGAGAGCAAAGATTAAGTGGGACGCACAAAGTTTAAGGGTCCTAGTGAACTTGATTTGTGGCTTACAAGAAATAAATGAGTAAATATCACCAGAAGATTAAAAACTAGGTATCAGAGAGATTTTTGTCACAACAGGGACTAGCAGCTCGGAGACAGAACAATGAAAAGAAAGGTTTCTTTCTGAGTAAACTGAAAACCAGAGTCAGAGGAGGTACTGTCTTGTAATAAAGGCTCAAAAGAACTAGGCCCATGTCCCTGCTCCAACTGTGAGCCCGTGGGGCACATTGCTTAACTCTTCTGGGCCTCAGTTTTCAGATCTGTACAATGGAAATTGTAATATTAGGTTGTTGGAAAAGTCATGACATATTTTTTCTATGTTTTTCATTGCAAAAATGCCTCATGACTTTTCTGACAACCCAATAGGTCCAACCTCATCCAGATATTGTCAGGATTACGTGAGCTCAAATGTTTCACACACTTATCAGTGGATTTAGAGGCAGATATAAGTAAACTCGATAAATATTAATTTGTACTATGAAATCTACCTTGGGCTGGAAGTAGAAAAGTATTGACACAAGAAAAACAATTAGTTGCCTGCTGTTAAATAATTTATACTGGGGTTGTCATTTTGCATATCATATCTGTAATTAAGAAGTTTCTGGGTAGGATGCCATACTGCTGAGCTGGAAAGTGCTGGACTCTAATAGAAAAGTTGAAACAACTGTTTGTCTCAAAATGTTAAAAAATTTGAATTTTTTAAATTAACTATTTGAAGAACGGCTTCTGTTTATATTCATTTATTGGCTGCAGTTCAGTCACATGACCACACCCAGCTACAAGGGAGGCTGGGAAACGCATTCTCCATTCTGCATAACCATGTGCCCAACACAGAATTAGATGTTCTGCCCCTGAGGGAGAAGGGAAGAAAGGATATTGGGGGCCTATTAGAAGTCCCTGGCACAGTCAGCTTTTAATATTTCTAGAAGGTCAGAGGAGACTAAAGCCTGAAGGAGAACTAGGCATTAGTCAGATAAAGGGTGGAGAAAGCTGTGCAGGTTAAGGGAACAAATGAATGTAAGACTGAGGCTTCGCCCTGAGGAAGAAGCTTGGAAAGTTTAGAGAAAAGGAAGGAACGCAAGTGGGGATGCAGGGTGGTGGTAAAAGGGCGTAAGTAGAAGTGGGCAGAGAGCAAGCCAAGAAAGGTCTGGGAAGCCATGCAAAAGAATTTAGACTTTAAGTGTAATGGGAGACTTAGTACCATTTTAAACTGGGATGGATGTGACGTGACCCAATTTACATGTTGAAAAGGTCATGCTGGCTGCTGCAGTGACTGTTGATTTGAAGAGAGAGAGAGCTGATGTGAAGAGGTCAGCCAGGGAGCTATGGCAACCTGGTCTGGGCTGTCATGTACAATACAGATCAGGGGGATGTGAGAAGCGGAGAAAAAATAATTTTTGCTCCGCTGTTATCTCAATAAGTGCTTTGTAGAGACATTTAGTTTCTTCTCTTTAATTTCCCAGAACAAAGCCCTGAGTGTGATTACTTTTCTCCTCATTCAGGCAGGCTCTAGTCTGGTTGTGATTATATCAGTTTTTGCACATTGGCAACAATACACAACTTAAGCAAATAAAATAAATGGCCGAGACACAGGACCAAACAGATGGTGTCACACCCACTTTATCTCAGCAAAATCAGCAGCATTGGGTCCTGCTCCCCATCCCACCCCCTGCACCCTGTCTCACCTCCCCCTTCCCTATTTTTCCTTCTGGTGCTTTAATATGCGTCACCTCCATCCAATATAACCACAGCTGGCCCTTTTCAGATTTATATGTCTCTAAAGCGTTTGCATCAGGAAAAAATATAACTAGAAACAAGATTTAAAATGAGAATTTCATGTTCTATTTTTTCCTTTTGACCTTCATTTCCTTGATCCTGAAATGGCTGAAGTTCCAGGAGCAGCAAAAAGACGGAGACCAAGAAGGACAAGTCAGGTAACAGAGGGCACAGGGCACCCGTGTCTCCTGTCTCGGAGAACTTTCTTCTCTGCAAATGTAGGAACATGATTCCTTCCAGCTCCCCATCCAAACTTTCCCAGAGCTGTCAAGATGTCCCCTCATATCTTAGTTTTAGTTCCTTCAGGCTCTTTGGCAACCATAGTCAATTGGCACCAAATCCTCCCAATTTTTCTTTGAAATGTCTCATCTCTTTACTTCATTTCTGCCCCCCACAGATCCTACCCTAGTTCACTTTATCACCTCTTGCCTGGACTACTGCAGCAATCTTCTAGTTCATTCATTCATTTGCTCATTCAGAAACATGCACTGAGCACTCGGTAAGTGCCAAACACTGTCAAAGGCTCTGGAGTCCCAATTGAAGAAAGAAACTGAAGTACTCCCTTCAAGGGGTTTATAATTTGGTGAAATTAGATGGGTAAATCCCCAAATTATACAACCTCTTTTTCCAGGCAGCATTCAAAGCCCATGCCTGGGGTGCCACAGGGGCACAAGGATGGGAGTACCTCACTCCTCCCAGGAAGCTATCCCCCAGAGGCCTAGGGTCTGAGCCCGGTCATAGAGGATAAGGACATGTGGGCTGACTGAAGTGGATGAGGCAGGGCATTCTGGGAAGAGACAGAGTCTGTGTGAGAGAGCATGACGCATTCTGGAAACAGCAGCTGGTTCCCTGTTTATTTACAGGTTTTAGTTTACCCCAAATCCACTCATTTGGCAGGGCTCTATATAAACTTCCCCTCCCTTACCCATCTTGCCTGGTCACTTTCTCCTCCGTAAATAGAAGCCCTCTGCCTCATCTCCTTCTCCAGCTCAAATCTGCTTGAGGCACACCTTAGCTATCCTTCCCCAAGTCCTGTTCATATTCCCTCTCCTGCTCCAAATCCTACTGATTCTTCCAGGTATACCTCTGGGCACATTCTTGGTCAGATGAATCTTTCCTTGGTCATAACCTCTCTTTTGTTATTTCCTAATTGTTTCATTGGTTTCAATCTTGTTTCTTCAACCAATACTAAATTTTTTTCATGCCTCTGAATTATCCACAGTGGCAAGCACCAGGCTGGGAACACAACAAGAGCTCAGTAAATATCTGTGCACCATACCACTAATAAATTTTTCCTCCACGTTGGCTCAGGAGGCAGCTGGAATATCATGTTATATTTAGACATTTAGAGGAGTGATAGATCCCAGGGGAGCTCTGCCAACTTTCATCCAAACCAGGAATTACAAACGTAATGTATAGTTTGTAGTATAGATGCGTAAAAAGTCTAGATGTCATGAATATAAGAAATGGTTGCCTTTTCTCTCAACTCTATTATAAGTAAAAATAACAGCTGGGCTGATGCTTGGTTTCAGCATTGAGGAGACAATAGGGAGTGGTGGGGACAGTGGCTTTCAATGAAAAAGTGAGAATTTCAATTAAGTCTTCAATTAATTATTTCCATGGTAGAACACAGGCCCAGTGTTGAGCACAGGCTAGATACTTTAATTTTTCAAGAGAAGCCAAAAATCTGGATTTTTAAGTGACATATCCCCCACCCATAAAAA